GCTCAGCTTATTCTCTGGTGAAAAAAATGGAATAATCTCAGTTATTCAAGATAAGATCTTTTTTAAAAAATGAAAGAAAATGTATAAAGCTACATAGAATCAGTGCCACCAGCACACCACTCTCAATACTTTAAAAAAAATTTGGCATATTTTCAGGTACTTATACAAAATCGGATCAAATTCAGCAAGTAGTTTCATGATTCTTATGAAATTTCCACTATTTGAAGAATGTTGCTTTCAGTCATGACCTCAGGCAGAGCACGCCTCACTTAAAATATAATGGCTACTACTTATTCGAAATAAAAGCAAATATTCTTCAAGACTTTGGTGAGTACTACTATATTTGATTTACATACAATCCAAATAAACTCAAGCCTTCTTATGCTCTGTAGAGGCTGCAACATATTTTGAGAGTTCTTGATATACTCATTCAGTTGGAAAACCATATATTGTAAATAAATCTGTCTTTGTTGAAAACAGTTTGCTAACTAAACACTAGATACAGACTTTGGGTTCTGGAATAGACTAGACAAAATTCCAAAACAGTGTGAACAGCTTTAAAATTTTGAATAGTGTCTATTATCTCAGGAATAAATGTAGATCTAAGTAGTCCCAAAATAGAGTGATTCCAATCTCTTACATTAAGAGCTCAAAGAGCCAGGCACAGTGGCTCATGCATGTAATCCCAGCACTTTGGGAAGCTCAGGTGAGAGGACTGCCTGAGTCCAGGGATTCAAGACTAGCCTGGGCAACTTGATGAGAACTTGTCTCTACGATAAATCAAAAAATTAGCCAGGTGTGGTGACACGTACCTGTAGTTCTAGCTACTTGGAAGACTGAGGCGGAAGGATCACTGGAGCCCAGCAGGTTGAGGCTGCATTGGTCGTGAGCAGCGTGTCACTGCACTACATCCAGTCTGAGCGACAGAGTGAGAATCCAATTCAAAAAAAAAAGTATGTGTATGATCCTTGGTATACACTGTTGGTTTACTAGTATTTGTTGAAGATTTTTTTGCATCTCTTTTCATAAGAGACAGTGGTCTGCATTTTGTGATGTCTTTAGGTTTGGCATCAGTGTAGTACTGACCTCTTACTGAGTGGGAAATTGTTCCCTCTGCTTCTAATTTTTTTGTCAAGCTTGTGAGAAATTTGTATGAACTCCTCTTCAAATGTTTAGTGGGATTCTCCATTGAAGTCATTTGGGCCTGAGCTTTTCTTGAGTATTTTTGTTGATAATTCAGTCTCTTGTCATAGTTTTACTCAGATGTTCTCTTTTTTCTTGAGATAGATTAGGTAGTTTGTGTTTTTCTAGGAATTTATTTCTTATAATTTAATTTGCTGACATGCAGTTTTTCATAGTATTACGTTATAAGCCTTTTTTATATTTGTAAAGTCAGAAATAATATCCCCCATTTCATTTCTTATTTTCATAATTTGGGTCTTCTTTTGTATTTTGTTTTTGTTTTGGCCAGTTTAACTAAAAGCTTTGTCAATTTGCTTGCTCTTTTCTAAAAACAGTTTTGGTTTTATTGATTTTTCTCTACTTTTTAATTTTACTCTCTATCTCATTAATTTTACTAGGTTAATTTCAAAAGTCTTTATTATTTTCTTCTGCTTGCTTCAGATTTAGTTTGCTCTTCATTTATAAGTGCCTTAAGGTAAAAGATTAGGTTATTAATTTGAGACCTATTTTCTTAGTAATTTCTCTAGGGCTTATCATATATGTAACTTATCAGAATCTATCTCAAATTTGTGCTAAATTAATTCCAATAGGATAAATAATTTTTACTCTTATAACTCTATAAATGTTGGTTTTTCCTACTTTTTGTGGCATTATTATATGAATATTAATTCTATATATGGCCAAACAATACACTGTTGCAATTATTAATTTATTCACTGAAGAAAAAAGTATGAATCTATACCTGTTATAGTAACTTCCTTACAATTGCAGTTTATCTTCATTTATTCATGGGGGTTCAAGTTAACATTTGCTGTCATTTGTTTAGTCCAATACAGCCTTGCCCCTACCTACCTCTCTTGTGCTGTTCTGTTAAGAATATTACATTTCTATATGTTATAGGCCCAGCAATACAATGATATATACACATAGTTTTATAGAATTGCTTTTTCAAAACCAGTCAGGAGGAGAAAGGAGAAGAAATATGCATTATGATGTCTTCTATCATTTCATAATTACCTTAATGGTGTTCTTTGTCCACGTGGATTTGTATCACCATCTGGGGTCACTTGTCTCCTACTTGAACACCTTCTTTTGGTATTTTTGTTAAATAGATCTGCTGAGAGTACATTTTCTCAAAGTTTCCAGGCTTGAACGTCCCAATTCACACACTCTTTCAAATAAAGTCAGTTTCCTTGGGAAGAGCTTCAGACTCTCTGGTTTTATGAACTGCCTCTCTCCCCGAGGAAAGTCTGTAGCCACAGCTGCTTCCACTGGGCAGGGGTGGTCACTTCTGGTCTTCCCCACGTGCCTGTCTCAACATGGAAACTCCACCCTATAAGTGAAGCAGAGTGGGGCTGATACGACTGGGTATTCTCAGCCTACCCAGCCTGAACTAGAGTCTGCATGAGTGGGACAGAGTAGAGGTTGGGAGCTGTGATTTCTGGTCACATTCTCCAAGAACTTAGTGTCTATAACTCAGTATTGGAAAGAATGAGAAATGCTAGTGATCTGCCCCTCCTGAGGTTGTATCTTATCCCTGCTTTTAAGATGAGGGAAGAGGGAGACCTGCCTGCTTTTCCATGTCCAACAGTAGCAGAACTTTAGTCAACTTGAACCGGAGATGGGGAGGAATCAGTTTGTGTCAAGTGCCAAAGATTCCTCTATTCTTACCAGAGTTCTCAGAGTTCCTTTTGAATAGATGTTTCACTGTGATGCATGCTTTTAGGAAATTTACAGAAATTTTAAATGGCTCAGATAATTTTGAAAAACTTAGGATTATACATTCTGAAAAAAATAAGTAAAAAGACTTCAAAGTAGAATTAATAATGATGAAACTAGGCTGGGCCCGGTGGCTCGCACCTATAATCCCAGCACTTTGGGAGGTGAGGTGAGAGGATTGCCTGAGCCCATGGGTTCAAGATCAGCTTGAGCAACTTGGTGAGATTTCATCTCTACGATAAATCAGAAATTTAGCCGGGCATGGTAGCACATGCCTGTAGTTCCAGCCACTTGGAAGGCTGAGGTGGGAGGATCACCTGAGTCCGGCAGATTGAGGCTGCGGTGGCTGTGAGCGTGCCACTACACTCCGGCCTGGGTGACAGAGTGAGACTCCAACTCAAATAAATAAATAAATGATGATGAAGCTAAAGTGTTAAGGAAGGATAGGAAGAGTTAAAATAAAATTATTTTATAATTTATTAAATAATATATGAGTAAGAAAAAATATATCTGTATTGCATATGCATGTCATACATCATTTTAAATGTGTGTGTAACTAAATAAACAAATGTTCAAACAGACTTTTTACTATTTTTTGTTTTTACTGTAAAATACAGGTAATACTACTTATTCTGCATGTTAGTAGTCATGACTGAATTAGAAACCTAATGTATGAAGCTCTAAAAAACAATTTATTAAAAAAATAAAATTAGTCTGGGCATGGTGGCTCAGCCTATAATCCCAGCACTTTGGGAGGCCGAGGCGAGAGGATTGCCTGAGCTCAAGGGGTTTGAGACCAGCCTGGGCAACTTGCTGAGACCTCATCTCTACAATAAATCACACAAAAACTAGCCAGGAATGGTGGCATCCGTCTGTAGTCCCAGCTATTTGGAAGGCTGAAGCAGAAGGGTCATCTAAGCCCAGCGAGTTGAGGTTGCAGTGGCCATGAGCGTGGCACTGCACTCCAGCCTGGGCGACGAGAGTGAGACTCCAACTCAAAAATACAAATAAAAATAATTTAAAAATAAAATTATACTATACTTCTTTTTATCTATAAATAAAATGTTTTTACAATTATTCACTCAGTAAACAGAAGCAGCATACTGAGGTGGTTCAAGAAGAGAATTTGGGGCAACCACTTTGGGTTCCATCCCACTGTGGGAGCTTTTCTGTCCTCTCAATAAATCCTGCTTTCTCAATGAGAAAAAAAAAAAAAAGATAGAGAGAGTTTGTTTGGGATCAAGAAAGAATCTTCTTGGGTTTAGATTACTTATAATGTTAAGACTTTTTTGAGTCAGAGTCTCACACTGTCACCCAGGCTGGAGTGCAGTGGCACACACTGCCACCACAGCCTCGACCTGCTGGGCTCAGGGGATCCTTCTGCCTCAGCCTTACAAGTAGCTGAAACTACAGGTATGCGCCACCATACCCATCTATTTTTTTTTTTTAATTTATTGTAGAGATAAGGTCTCACCAAGTTGCCCAGGCTGGTTGCGAACCCGTGGGCTCAGGCAATCCTCTCACCTCAGCCTCCCAAAGTGCTAGGACTATAGGCATAAGCCACCACACCCAGCCACAATGCTATGATTTTAGACGACAAAGTCTACCTATGCTTTAGTTTCTATGAAATCATGGGGAAATATTTGTTTTGAAATTTAGGTTGTGTAATCCTGTAAAGCAGTCAGCACTGAGCCTGTAACACGTGTACAATGCACAGAACCCCCTCCAGTCTCTGTACTGGCATTAAGTGCCAGGGACTTTATGTTCATGAGTGTGTAAAACACACCCTTTCCCCCACGTATTGCACCCCTAAAAGAACAGCCGCTTCCATTTTGAGTGGGTCTATTATTTTAGAAAATTAGACCTAAAAATTATATGATGCCTCCTTCTAGGATTCTCAAACTAACCCCAAGCACAGGACACATTCCATTGTATACTCAATATCTCATGGACTTTTTAAAAACAATAAATAGTCTCTGAGACCTCTTCCAACAAAAAACTTTGAAGCTTCTGACTGAGAAATGTGAAACTCTCCCATCAGCACACTGCAGAAATTCCTTTTATGGTTGTTCAATCGATGCCTTGAACAAAGTACTTTCAGTTTCGCATTCCTCTAAATCTGCTACCCGAGGTTGCTTTACTTCTGATTATTTAGTCACTGAAGGAAATCCAGGAAGCCTTACAACACTGGAGGGGTGAAATAAAAGCCCAAGGATCCAGGGAGAGACAGAGAAGTGCTAGAAACCACTCCACCTGAACTGAGCAAAGGAATAGGTAAGAACTGCTATTACTTCTCAAAGTGGCTTTCTCTCCAGAGCTAAAGGACTTCGGCTTAGGGACATAGAGCCTGTAAGTTTGGGCCAGGGATGGGAAGGAATTTAAAGAGTCGGTAAATTTCCTTAAAAACTATCAGAACCAAGTTAGGCTGTGACTGAGTCTGAAATGGGACACAGAGCAGATGAAATCCTGGTGTTATTACAAGCACCCAGTCCCTACTGCCACCAATGTGCTTACGTTGAATTAGGCACCAGCAGAGAGGGACCAGTGTTTGAAATGCACTAGGATTATCTTTCTCTTTGTTGATAGCGTCTGTAATGATTAGGGGCAATTAAATTACCATTCTCCTTAACGGAGCTTGCTCAGTCTTGCTCCTACAGCAGCTAAGAAATTGAAAGGGCTACAGATAGTTATTTTCATGAAATGGGAAGAACGGTCAATGAGAGCCAGGGTAAGCAGCCCACTGACACTGTTAACAACAAAGAAAAAAAAAACAACTAAAACTCAGGATAAAAGTTGAAGATATATGAAAGTAGTACACTTTTTTTTTTTTTTTTGAATCAAAGTCTCACTCTGTCGCCCAGGCTGGAGGGCAGTGGCACACTTATGGCCACCACAGCCTCAACCTGCTGGGCTCGGGCTATCCTTCTGCTTCAGCCTTCCAAGAAGTTGGAACCACAGGCATGAGCCACCAAGCCCGGTTAATTTTTTGATTTATTGTAAAGACAAGGTCTTGCCAAGGTCCCCAGGCTGGTCTTGAATCCCTGAGCTCAGACAATCCTCTCGCCTCCCCCTCCCAAAGTGCTGGGATTATAGGCATGAGCTACCGAGCCTGGCTAGCAGCATACTTTTTAATCATACATTTGAATTTTATTTCAGGGCGAATGTCTTCCTTTAGAAATAATCCAGACTCACTAATTTCCTAGTGCCCACTCAGCCTCTATCCTTCACAAGTAGAATTCAGCTCCACTACTTTACTAAAGTGCTTCTTCTTTAATTCTCCTCTAATGCTACAGTAAAGGCAATATACTTGTTTACCTTGACCTCCCCATGTTCTCAGACAACTTTGATCTTGCCTGCTGGAAACTTCTCCCCTGAATTCCTTGGCAAGGCATGAACCTTTTCATCACCTTCTGGTCTGAAAGCGCTCTCTCTCACTCTTCTTAGGAGTTCCTTATCTTCCTCCTCCCTAGACATTCTCTTCCACTTCCTCCTATTTCTCTTTCTCTACCAAATGGGAAAACAGAACAAAACAGAAAATAAATCAATATTGAATTTCTTACATATAGCTAGGAGCAAAATATATTATCTAAATCTTATTATATCTTTCATTCCATTGTCTAGTGTAAATGTTTAACTAAGAATCCAAAGAAAAGAGTTCTACAATAAATTAAATGAAAGACTTGGGTCGTGAGAGTAGCTGAATGTTGATAAGTCTGTCATGCCAACATTTTTTGTACTGAAGTACTTTGATGCTATAACTTCTATAACTTTCCCAAACAATATAGATTTTTCCTTCATCCATCTTACTGATGCACACAAAACATTCAGCCATCCTGGGGAATTTTATGACTCTACCCTATCATTGAAAAGACTGAAAATTCTTTTTGTTTGTTTGTTTGTTTTTGAGTTGGAGTCTCACTCCGTCACCCAGGCTTGAGCCACCGCGCCCGACCAAGACCAGAAATTGTAATTCATTACGCCTCTTCCCTTCCAGACAAAGGAACACCATGGACGTGACCTCAGAGATCCACATGCCAAGCCCATTGTGCCTCATTGAGAACGCTATGGGGCAACTGGTAATTAATCCAAAAGCTTTGGAGATCCTGTCTACCATTACACAGCCTGTGGTGGTGGTGGCTATCGTGGGCCTCTACCGCACTGGCAAATCCTACCTGCTGAACAAGCTGGCTGGGAAGAACAAGGGTGAGTGAAACCAGCAACTCTCTGCCAGTTCCCCTCCATCCACCCACACAGTCAGCACCCAGTATGGGATGAATGTGAAAGCTAGCTTACCACTCATACTTGGACTCTCTACTTTCACTTTGTTCTAGGGAATGAGTCAGATCATCAACTCTTTTCAGGATGCCTTAGTTTCTCCCCCTTCCCCACTTTTATTATTTTCTTTTAATTTTAAAGATGTGGGGTACAATTCAGAGTTAGGTAGACAAATGGTCATTATGAGTTGTGCCCTTGCTTCTCCTGGTAGTTTCCCACTACTGCCAATCCCTTTCTTTTCTTCTTTTTTTTTTTTTTTTTTTTTGAGTTGGAGTCTCACTCTGTTTCCCAGGCTGGAGGAGTGCAGTGACATGCTCATGGCCACCCCAGTCTCAACCTGCTGGGCTCAGGTGATCCTTCCATCTCAGCCTTCCAAGTAGCTGGAACTACAGGCACACGCAACCATGCCTAGATAATTTTTTGATTTATTGTCGAGATGAGGTCTCACCAAGTTGCCCAGACTGGTCTCGAACCCATGGGCTCAGGCAATCCTTTCACCTCGGCCTCCCAAAGTACTGGGATTATAGGCATGAGCCACCACACCTGGTCACCAATCCCTTTCTTATAGTATTATGATAATCACTCAAGGTCCGCTTATGAGTGAGAACATGTGGTACTCAGTTCTTTGTTTTTGTGATAGATCACTGAGTATTATAGACTCTGAGTTCATCCAAGTTGCTGGGAAATTCATAATTTTGTCCTTCTTTATGGCTATGTAATATTCCATCGTGTATATGTACCACTTTTTTTAAATCCAGTCCTTTTTCAATGGGTAGCATGGTTGGTTCCTTATTTTTTGCTATTGTGAATAATGCTGCAATAAACATGTGTGTGCAGGTATCTTTTTTCTTTTGTTTTCATTTTTTTATTTTAAATATGGGGGGTATAATTCAGGGTTAGGTATACAAATGTTCATTACGCAGGTACCCTTGTGGATGAGGTGTGCCCCTCCCTCCCCTGGCAGTTTCCCACTACTGCTAACCCCTTTCTTATAGTAATTACGATAGTTGAGGTTTCTTTTTTATAGAGTGATTTCAGTTCCTCTGGGTATGTTCCCAGAAGGGGGATTGCAGGGCCGTATGGAAGGTCGATTTTTAGATCTTTTAGGAATCGCCACACTGTTTTCCACAGAGGTTGTACTAGTTCACACTCCCACCAACAGTGTAGAAATGTTCCCTTTTCACCACATCCTCTCCAGCAGCTTTTTGAGTTAGTGACGATGGCTATCCTGATTAGAGTTAGGTGGTATCTCAATGTGGTTTTAATTTGCATTTCTTTGATGGTTAATGAGGCTGAGCATTTTTTCATGATCTGTTGGCTGCTCATGTGTCTTCTTTTGAGAAATGTCTATTCATATCTTTTGCCCACTTTTTAATGTGGCTGTTTGTTTGTTTTTTTCTTTCGGCACATTTAATTTCCTTGTAGACCCTAGATGCTAGGCCTTTGTCAGATATACAATTGGTAAATATTTTTCCCCAGTCTGCTCTCAAGAGTCATTAGATGGTCAATAGAAATTACATTGAATCTGTATATCAATTTGGGCAGTAGTAACATCTTAAGAATATTTAATTTTCCAAGCCATAAACACAGATGTCTTTCTAATTATTTGTATCTTTAATTTTTTTAAAGAAAGTTTTATAGTTTTCACTATACAAGTCTTTCACCTCCTTTGGTTAAGTTTATTCCTAAGTAATTTATTCTTTATATACTATGATTAGTAGCATTGTTTTCAACATTTCCTTTTCAGGCTTTTCATTGCTAGTGTATAGAAAAGCAACTGATTTCTGTTGATTGTGTGTGTGTGCTGCAACTCTGAATTCTTTTTTTTAACATTTTTTGGTCAAATATTTAAGGTTTTCTGTATACAGGATATCATCAGAAATAATTTTACTTCTTTTTCTTTTTTTTGCGGGGGGGGGGTCGGAGTCTCACTCTGTTGCCCAGGCTGGAGTGCTGCTGGGCTCAGGTGTTCCTTCAGCCTCAGCCTTCCAAGTAGCTGGTACTACAGGTGCACACCACCATACCCAGCTAATTTTTTAATTTTTTATTGTAGAGAGACAAGATCTTGCCAAGTTGCCCAGGCTGGTCTCGAATCCCTCAGGCAATCCCCTCACCTCTACCTCCCAAAGTGCTAGGATTACAGACGTGAGTCACTGCAACTGACATTTCTAATTTGGATGCCCTCTGTTTCCTTCCATGTTTCCCTTTGAGGATTTTTTTCATCTGGAGAAGCAATAAAAAAAAAAACCGCTCAGGCAAAGATCAGGTGAATAGAGAGGGTGGAGCTCAGGGGCCATGCCACTTTTTGGTCCAAAGCTGTTGAATTCTCAGTGGTGTGGGCACGTGTGCTTGTAAATCATGCATCATGAAATGGACAAACTCCTTGAAAGACTATCCAAGAAAAAATTCACTGAAGCCAAACACAGCGTCTGACAATAATGCTCACTGGTTCACTGAAGCTAAGGGTTCCTAGAACAGACACCTAGCAGGGGAAGCCTGTACTACAAGGGTTTGGTTTCAGTATTAATTCCATTTTTTTAAATTCCCCCATCATATGGTCTTTATTATGTTGTAGTTTCGATTTCTGGTTTGTTGATTGTTTTTGTCATGAAAGTGTACTGAATTTTTTTATTTATTGGATATTCAGATTTTCCTATTTCTCTGATTGTAAGTAAGATCAATACTGATTGTGGTTCGGTTATCTCTCTTAAACTTAATTATGCTACCTTTTGCCTCAATTACCTGAACTGCCTGCTATTAAATCTCCACCCCCCTCTCATTCCCTCTCCTTCTCAGGCTTCTCTCTGGGTTCGACGGTACAGTCTCACACCAAAGGAATCTGGATGTGGTGTGTGCCTCATCCCAAGAAGCCAAACCACACACTAGTTCTGCTCGACACTGAGGGTCTGGGAGATGTAGAGAAGGTAAAACTGAAGGATTCTGTTGTGTAATAAGCCCCTAATCTCTGAATATCTCATACACGGTTTAGTTTTTCCTTAAATAAGAGCTTGCACTTAACCATAACATGTCTTTTTATTTATGTTTACATATCATGAGACCAAGTTTAGAGACCAGAAATGAGAAAAACATTCATAAGACAGAATCCTAGCAGAGACCATAGTGGCCAATAGACAGTATTCTATTAATAACAGGCTGTAAGCTAAGTGAGTTAAGCCAGATGCATAAAGGTAGCAGAAATAAACTCAGTGTCATAAGCCTTATCCTGCAGAGCACTTTAGTTAAAAGTTTGGATACTGAAACCCCATAAACTTTGTGTTTAAATTTAACTTGGTCGCTAATTTAACGGCCCTAGCAAATTATTTTACTTCTTTTAGCCTCAGCTTTTCTAATCTGTAAAATAGATGTAATAGAGCTATATTTGCCTCATAGTATTGTTTTGAATATTTAAAAGATAAATAATGTATTAGGTGTATAATAATTGCTCAATAAAATAGCTACAAATATTATCAATCTTAAATAAGTTAATTTTGTTATAAAAAAGGAAGAAATTTTATATTTAAATTGTACATAAGGCCTTAGTACCAACCTTGACTGTTTATTTTGCAATTACCTGCCATGGTCATAAAGGGCCTAATGAGATACAGTATAAATCAAAAATACTAATAAAAATATAACCCAGAGTCCAAATCCTACTGACAATCATTTTTGTTTGTATTTGGGTTCCTTTTATAGGTCATTAGTCTGAAAAAAATCCTAACATATGATCACACTTTTAATGCTGCTGATCTGTTTGTTAATAGATTTCAGAACTCAGTGCTATGAGAATCAAACATACTCCTGATCCAAATGTGTTCTGACTTCCAGGGCGACAACCAGAATGACTCCTGGATCTTTGCCCTGGCCATCCTCCTGAGCAGCACCTTCGTGTACAACAGCATGGGAACCATCAACCAGCAGGCCATGGACCAACTACAGTATCCTTTTGTGGTTCAGAACAGAACTTGGTCACAGGTGACACCCTGTATTTATAAATCAGCTGCCTGATGGTGAATCGTCATAAATCAAGCTTACAAAGAAAAAACATGAAAAACAAATTCGAGTTCAGGGGAAAGATCCCATTGCCTACTTTAGAGACACGTAGGTTAAGAACAAAGGCAAAATGAAGGCTTGCGAATAATGAGGAACTAATACGGGATGGGAGGCCCTGTTCACTGTGTCACTTTTCCTTAGTTGCCACTCAGCTACGTGACAGAGTTGACAGACCGAATCAGGGCAAAATTCTCACCTGATGAGAATGAGGTTGAAGATTCAGCTGACTTTGTGAGCTTCTTCCCAGACTTTGTGTGGACTCTGAGAGATTTCTCCCTGGACTTAGAAACAGATGGACAATCCATCACAGCAGATGAATACCTGGAAAATTCACTGAAGCTGAAGCATGGTAACAGGAACCTCCAACTGATAGATGAGGGTGACAAAACACTAGAAATTATCATTTTTTAGTTTACACAGTTGTAGTTTTTTTTTGTTGTTTGTTTTTGTTTTGAGTTGGAGTCTCACTCTGTCGCCCAGACTGGAGTGCAGTGGCCGCTTCCAGCCACCGCAGCCTTGACCTGCTGAGCTCCGGCGATCCTTCCGCCTCAGCCTTCCGAGTAGCCGGAACTACAGGCGCGCGCTACCACGCCTGACTGATTTTTTTTATTTATTGTAGCGATGAGGTCTTGCCAAGTTGCCCAGGCGGGTCTCGAACCCGTGGGCTCAGGCAATCCATTCACCTCAGCCTCCCAAAGTGCGGGATTACAGGCTGAGCCACCGAGCCCGGCTTTACACAGTTGTAGTTTTTTACATTTACAGTTTACTATTTCTGCAGCTGGAGAAATAGTCATTAGGAATTAATGCTTAATTTCATATCTGAATTAATAGATTTAATTTTAAATTATATTTTCTCTGATTTAGAGTTTCACTCTGTTGCCCAGGTTGGAGGGCAGTGGCATGCTCACAGCCACCGCAGCCTTGACCTGCTGGGCTCAGGTGATCCTTCCACCTCAACCTTCCAAGTAGCCAGAACTACAGCAGCATGCCACCACGCCCAGCTAATTTTTTTATTTATTGTAGAGATGAGGTCTCACCATGTTGCCCAGGATGGTCTTGATCATGGGCTCAGGCAATCCTCTTTCCTCTGCCTCCAAAGTGATTACAGGCGTGAGCCACCACACCCATCTTAAATTATAGTCTTTCTTGTTCTAGAACATTTCTCTTTCTTTCACCTTTCCATATGCTATGATTAGGTTAATCTTATCTTCCTACTTAGGGGTTGTGATTCTGCATTTGATCATAGTAAATATCCATAAATACAATGGATATTTATTTCAAGAAAATAGAGTAAAGCATTAAGAGTGCACTAGTCCAAATGTTGGCAAACTACAGCCTGCAGAAATTGATGACTGGTCCTGCCTGCCAGTTCTTTGTATAAATAAGGATTTATTGGAATAATGGTATGCCCATGTTATTTACATATTGTCTAGGGCTGTGTTCATGATCCAATGACAGAGCTGAGTACTTAGAAAAGAGACTACCTGGTCTGAAAAGCCTAAAATATTGACTGTTTGGCCCTCTAGAGAAAAAGTTTGCAAACCGTTATATTAGTTAAATCTCTGCTTTATGTTCCTTCAGGCACCAGTCAAAAAGATAAAAATTTTAATCTGCCCCGACTCTGTATCCGAAAGTTCTTCCCAAAGAAGAAATGCTTTGTCTTTGATCGACCTACTCACCGAAAGAAGCTTGGACAGCTGGAAAACCTACATGAAGATGACCTGGACCCCGAATTTGTACAACAAGTTGCAAATTTCTGTTCCTACATCTTTAGTAATTCCAAAACTAAAACTCTTACCGGAGGCATCAAGGTCAATGGACCTCGTAAGTCCCATTCCACTCATTGTTAAGACTAATGAAGCATGGAATAGCATCCTTCTAGTATCACCTTTGAAAAATGCAAATCTACTGCTATAACTGCATCAAATCCTAGATGGCATCAATATTTCTAATATATTTTGTTTGTTTTCTGAGTTGGAGTCTCACTCTGTTGCCCAGACTGGAGGGCAGTAGCATGCTTACAGTCACTGCAGCCTCGATCTGCTGGGCTCAGGTGATCCTTTCGCCTCAGCCTTCCAAGTGGCTGGAAAAACAGGCTCACACCACCAAAAAACGCCCAGCTAATTTTTTGATTTATTGTAGAGACAAGGTCTTCCCATGCTACTCAGGCTGGTCTTGAACCCCTGAGCTCAAGTAATCCTCTCACCTCTGCCTTCCAAAGTGCTGGGATTACAGGCGTGAACCACCATGCCTGGCCTATTTCTAATATATTTTGTCAGTCAAATTCTTGGTGTGGAAAAAATAGGAAAGGCCAAAGGAAAATAGCTCTATTGCTTAAAATTGCCCTAATAAACTTAACCTGTTGTCCAATGCAGTAGTCCCTAGACAAGTGCAGCTAATTAAACTTATATGTAGCCAGGTGCAGTGGTTCACACCTGTAATCCCAGCATTTTGGGGGAAAGAGGTGAGAGAATTGCCCGAGCCCAGGGGTTTGAGACCAGCCCAGGCAACTTGGTGAGGCTTCATCTCTACAATAAATCAAAAAATTAGCCAGGCTTGGTGGCGGGTGCCTATAGGTTCCAGCTACCTGGATGACTGAAATGAAAGGATTGCTTGAGCACAGGATGTCAAGGTGGCAGTAGCTATGCGCGTTGCCACTGCACTCCAGCCTGGACAACACAGTGAGACTCCAACTCCAATAAATAAATAAATAAGATAAACTTAAATGTATATTAATTAAAATAAAGAAAACTTAAAAGTCAGTCAGAGCTAAGATGCATGCAGACATTCATTAAGTATGTATTCTAGGAAGACGCAAGCTATGTAATTTAGGAATTCTCATCCTTTGGTATGCATACATATTATCGAGAGATCTGGCAAAATAAGAGGATCTAATTTGTTAGATCTGAGACAGGGACTGAGAATCTGCATTCTAGCAAGCTTCCAGATGATGCTGTGAGGCAAATAGGTGGTAATTGACATGTTCAGAATTACAGAAAACAGAGACTCTTCCTCACTCTCCCTACAACAAACTTCATTTGTTCTCTGTGTGTAGGTCTAGAGAGCCTGGTGTTGACCTATGTCAACGCCATCAGCAGTGGGGATCTGCCCTGCATGGAGAACGCAGTCCTGGCCTTGGCCCAGATAGAGAACTCGGCCGCAGTGCAAAAGGCCTTTGCCCACTATGACCAGCAGATGGCCCAGAAGCTGCAGCTGCCCACGGAAACCCTCCAGGAGCTACTGGACCTGCACAGGGCCTGTGAGAGAGAGGCCATTGAAATCTTCATTAGGCACTCTTTCAAAGATGTAAACCAGCTATTTCAAAAGGAATTGGCGGTAATTTTTCTCTCTGGTTTGTAAGGACTAGGAATGTGAAAGGCAAAGCACTACCGGGAACTGAAATTAGCATTTATTTGTATAGAAGCAATTCTTATTAGCTTGTAAAATGGTGACAACTACACATTTGCAATCATATTCATCAGAAGAACCAATTTTATTATTACAGACTCAAAGTTTTAAAACATTTTTTCATGAATAGTCCTCCCTTTAATTAAATACGTATAACTAACGAGAGCTTATCATCAAATTACATGTCCACTTGTATCATAGTGATGAGATATTGTAGCCAAAGCAAATTTTAATCTTAGTTACCTTGAGCAGGTTGATGTTGAGTAAACTCAGAAACAGAGTTTACCTCTAAATATTGGGATAAAGTTATCAATCTCTGCTCTGGACTTCACCTGTGCCTTCCATGTGGCTGGAAACACTGGCATGCACCATCAGAAAAACACCCAGCTATTTTTTTATTTATTCTAGAGACGAGGTCTCTCCATGCCACTCAGGCTGGTCTCAAATCCCTGAGCTCAGGTTATCCTCTCACCTCTGCCTTCCAAAGTGCTGGGATTACAGGCATGAGCCACCATGCCTGACCTATTTCTAATATATTTTGTTCATCAAATTCTTGGTGGGAAAAAATAGGAAAGAACCGGGCACGGTGGCTCACATCTATAATCCTAGCACTTTGGGAGGCTGAGGTGAGAGAACTGCCTGAGCCCACAGGTTCGAGACCAGCCTGGACAACTTGGCAAGACCTCATCGCAACAATAAATCAAAACATTAGCCGGACATGATGACGCATGCCTGTAGTTCCAGCTATTTGAAAGGCTGAAGTGGAAGATTGCCTGAGCCCAGCAGGTTGAACTGCGGTGGTTGTGAGTGTGCCACTCCACTGTACTCCAGACTAGGTGGCAGAATGAGACTCCAACTCCCCCCCCCAAAAAAGAAAGTGACCAGTAGAAAGTTGGGGTCAGAAGAAAGAGCATGGTCCTGCTGAGGTGCCATCAGTTTTTCCTGGGGAGGGGAGGAGCCATAGTCTTTTATTTGTGAGAAGTCTTTCCAGAAATTCTGAGGTCAAGCTAACATCCTTTCCCTGTTATTCTTTTTTACTTCTATTTTTACATTAAAGGCCCAGCTAGAACAAAAGCGAGATGACTTTTGTAAACAGAATCTGAAAGCATCATCAGATCGTTGTTCAGCTCTACTTCAGCAAATTTTCAGTTCTCTAGAAGCAGAAGTGAAAGATGGAGTTTATTCTAAACCAGGGGGCTATCGATGCTTTATTCAGAAAGTACAAGACCTGAAGAAAAAGTACTATCAGGAACAGAGGAAGGGGATACAGGTAAACAAGTTTTTTCTGTTGCTGATGGAAACTGTTGATATGCCTCCTTGAACCCACGTGAACAAGCACAACTGCACACAGATGTGCATTATTGTCTGCATAAATTTAACACTTTCTTTCAATAGCATGTACAGGGAGCCTGTTATTCCAGGTATGTCCTAAGTGCTTATCAAAAAGAGTACAGTCAATTAGCAATTGAGTTACAAATTGAATTATCAGATTAACCATCAAGTTGTTATGATCATCCACTATTACAGCTGAATTTTTTATGTTGCAAGAGACAGAAATCCAATGATGGGTGCTTAAACAAAAATTGGTAATTTATCAGTTTAGGCTTCCAACTGGCTTTAAGGGAAGTTGGATCCAAAATTTCAAACAATGTCATGATATGTGTCTTTGCCCAGTGTTCCTCCCCATCTCAGCAGTTCCCTCCCTACTTCCTCCCTCTATCTCTGCACTCTGATTTGCTTTCTCAGTGATGGCTTCATTCTACAGCAAGTTCGCCACATATGGGACCACACATTAATAGCTTCAGAGTACCCGATCTGAAACATCAAGAGAACCTCTTTTTTCCAGTATCTATATCAGCCTCCTAAAAATAGTTTTGTTAAGTGGGCTACTCTGATAAGCCTACCTGGAACACGTGCCTACTCCTGGGACAGGAAAACTTGACCACTAGGCACACCAGCACCAAGAATAGCAATTCCTAGAGAGAAGATGAGGGGCAAATGGGGACGAATACTTAGAGACACTTCCTCCTTCTAACTCTGTGTTCTCTGGGTTCTAAGGCTGAAGAGGTTCTGCAGGCATACTTGAAATCCAAGGAGGTTGTGATTGACACAATTCTACAGACAGACCAGACTCTCTCAGAGAAAGAAAAGGAGATTGAAGGTGAGGAGCAATCCAAGTGTTTACATGGCCTCAAAAGCTCTTAAAAGTCAACATCATTTGGATAAATTGGGATCCTTGAACTAGAGCAAGAAGAGCAAAGATGTGCCTTAGTTGCTGATGTTGTATCTTAGAAAGGCATATGCCATCAGCAACAACAATAACAAGTGTACAAGGAAGAATCAGACACAAAGATATCCCCACTCACATTGTTCTTCTTCCTCTTCCTCCACAGTGCAGCGTGTGAAAGCCGAATCTGCACAGGCTGCAGCACAAAGGTTGGAGGAAATGCAGAAGAAGAATGAGCAGATGATGGAACAGAAGGAGAGGAGTTATCAGGAACATGTGAAACAACTGACTGATAAGATGGAGAGGGAGCGGGCCCAGTTAGTGAAAGAGCAAGAGAGGACCATCAATCTTAAACTTCAGGTATCCAATTGCATCACCTGGAGGTTTCTGTTTTTCTGTTTTTTCTCTATCCTCCCTGATCACAAACTTAGTGTGGCAGGGCAAACAGGAAGCCCAGAGGAAGGTCCTGATTTGCTCACTTGTGCTTTTCAATTCCTGTCTGTCCTGCATGAACTGGCCACTGCCTATGTCCAGTCACTAAACGTTTCTTATTGGCAGTTGTGTCACATTCAGTCCTTTATCGGTATATCCTTCATTTAAAGGTAGCTATTATCGGCTAGGCATCATAAAAATGTCTTGTCTGTATCTCTTGCTTCATATCATATGAAGCAAAAATTATGGCCCTATTACTTAAGGGAAGAAACAGAGGTTCAGAAGAGATTAAATAAATTTTATAAGCTTCTACAGCAAGTAAAATAGCTGAGGTATCTTCATCACTTTGTGGAATCTACAGTGGTTTTTTTTTTTTTTTCTGTCACACCTGCTATGACTTTCTCTCTAAGAGCATCTTAATGAACAGAAGGACTCCTCAAACTTTCACTTCTGGGTGATAGCCAACCACTCCTGCCTGTTTTCATGCCCTGCTCCCAGTTTGTGTTGAGTTGTGCCAAAATCCAGTATGGTTTGTCTGGGACTCTGATTTTCTAAAGTATCTTCTGCTATTCCTGCCACCGAGTTATGGTTGCTTATGTCAAATTTCCTGATCTAAGATTCAGACACTTCATCAGGGTTTAAGAATACTCTTTTTTTTTTTTTTGAGTTGGAGTCTCACCCTGTCTCCCAGGCTGGAGTGCAGTGGCACGCCCACGGCCACCGCAACCTCGCCCTGTTGGTTCAGGAGATGCTTCCGTCTCAGCCTTCCAAGTAGCTGAAACTACAGGCACGTGCCACCATGCACAGCGAATTTTTTTTTTTAATTTATTGTAGAGACGAGGTCTCACCAAGTTGCCCAGGCTGGTCTCGAATCCCTGGATTCAAGCAATCCTCTCACTTCCACCTCCCAAATTGCTGGGATTATAGGTGTGAGCCACCATGCCCAGCATGAAAATTTCAAGAAGAAATTAAATAATAAATGAGAGAATGTGGAAACAAGACAGAACATAGAGATTTGCTTTTTTGGTGGGGAGGGTCTCACTCTGTCGCCCAGGCTGAAGTATAGTGACATGCTCACAGCCACTGCAGCCTTGATATGCTGGGCTCAGGTGAACCTTCCATGTCAGCCTTCCAAGTAGCTGGAACTACAGGCGCACACCACCATGCCTGGTTAATTTCTTTTCAATTTATTGTAGAGATGAGGTCTTGTCAAGTTGCCCAGGCTGGTCTCAAACTCCTGGGTCCAGGCAAACCTCTTGCCCCCTCTCCCAAATTCCTGGGATTACAGGCATGAGCCACCACACCCAGCGTAAAAATTTCAAGAAGAAATTAAGTAATAAATGAGTGAATGTGGAAACAAGATAGAATATAGAAATTTACTTAACGCTACAATTTATCCAGTCTCCATTTGTTTCTCTTTAGGAACAGGCCCAACTACTGAAGGAGGGATTCCAACGTGAGAGCAACCAACTTCATAGTGAGATACAGAATCTCCAGAAAAGCCTAAGGAAACCAAGGTGTACCATAAGCTAAAGACCTAAGGAACAGAGCTTTCCTGTCACCCTTAGCCAAGTAATAACAGAAGCAATTTTAGAATTTCGAATAAGTGTTACATTTGATAAATTTGCCAAGATATGTAGTACATGAAGTCATGTCTACATTCCTAAAAAGACTGTAAATTGTAAAACAAGGATGCATTTACCTCTGTACCAATAACTAGCAAGGTCTTGAGCTAGTGCAACTCAGGAGAAGTTTATGTACACTGAATAAAGTCATAGGTCGAAGTCCTGGGACATAGATGGGCACTGGCCAAGCTTACAGTGGGTCCCAAACTCAGGGACAACCATCCTAGCTTCTTAGTGAAGACCATGCACAGCTCTCCATTATATTGAGGCTACACAGTCTATGAGAAATAATGTGATTTCTGGACACTGACAATGGAGAATCCTCAATGATGCATTTCAAGCTAAAGCAAACAACCTTACACAGAGATCTAGAATTGCTATATACTCTCCATAGGAAGATGGAAGAAACTGATATCATGCGTAGGAGTTGGGTAATCAACAAAAGGGCTAATGAAGAAAACTAACTTCATGTTCATTTATTCCAGATTATAACTTTAATGGGACATTTTAGACCTTTAGACAATTAACAATGGATTGAACATAGTCACTTGAGGACAATTATGCACTGTATATTTTTTATACTGTGTAATTTACAAAGATGAACTTTAGATGATAATAGATATTCTGTTAGAAAATTGACTCGTTTTATTATTTGGTTGTTTATAATCCTGGCTAGTCTTTTTCTAATTTTTAGCAGTCATATTAAAATCCTGCTGATTCTTCCCAAAGGCAATACAAAATGTTTTTTGTATTTTTCTGACCAATGAAATAAAGTTCTTTATATTACTTAGTATGTGTAGATTTTTATCCCAATTGTGAAAAGTCCTAGGTAAGTGGTTGGCATTTCTTATTGCAATAACAGATTACTTTGATCTAGAAATAAAAAGTGCTCACTTGGCTTTTATTTTATTTTATTTTTTTGTGTTGGAGTGTAGTGGCATGCTCATGGCCACCACTGCCTCAACCTACTGGGCTCAAGTGATCCTTCCGCCTCAGCCTTCCAAGTAGCTGGTACCATAGGCACGTGCCACCACACCCAGCTAATTTTTTAATTTATTTATTGTAGAGACGAGATCTTGCCAAGTTGCCCAGGCTGGTCTTGAACCTATAGGCTCAGGCAGTCCTCTCACCTCTGCCTCCCAAAGTGCTGGGGTTACAGGCATGAGCCACGGTGCCCGGCCACTGAGCTTTTTGTCTCTGATTGAGTTTTTTTTTTTCTTCCAGTTTTTGCCCAAAAATAAAGTCTTCATAGCAATGATTGGTTACCTTTTCTGTAAAACACTAGATAGTAACCCTTTATGGCTTTCTGGGTCATACAGTTTCTGTCTCAACTACTCACCTCTGAAAGTAGTGCAAATGCAGCCACAGACAAAACATAAACAAATAGGCATGGCTATGTTCCAATAAAGCTTTATTTTAATTAGTTTTCTAAAATTTTGTCTTTTTTTTTTTTTTTTAAGTCAGAGTCTCACTCTGTTGCCCAGGCTGGAGAGTAGTGACACGCTCACCACCACTGCAGCTTCAACGTGCTGGTCTCAGGCGATCCTTCTGCCTCGGCCTTCCAAGCAGCTGGAACTACAGGCATGCACCTCCATGCCTGGCTAATTTTTTATTTATTGCAGAGATGAGGTCTCGCCATGTTGCCCAGGCTAGTCTCGAAACTGTGGGCTCAGGCAATCCTCTCACCTCAGCCTCCCAAAGTGCTGGGATTATAGGTGTGAGCCACTGCACCAGGCCTTAATAAGCATTTAAAAAAGAAATTATAGCAATACTATGCAGTTTATTTCAGAAAACACAAGATGGAGCATTTCCTAATTGTTTCTATAAGCACACCATTATTAGACAAAGACAAGTACAAAAAAAGGAATTATAGATTATTATCCCTCATGAACATAGATGAAAATAACCTCAACAAAATATGAGCAAATCCTCAAACTAGGCAAAGTGGGGACCAAAGGGAGGCCCAAACTTTACCTGTACGATGACCACTTGTATACCTAATCCTGAATTGTACCCCACATCATAAAATAAAATAAAATCAGCAAATCAGATCCAGCATTATACAAAAATAATGCACCTCAGTCAAGTGGGATTTATACTGGGAATGCAAGTCAGCTCAAAAGTCAATTAATGCAATTTACTACACTAAAAATCTAAAGAAGAAAAGCCACATGATTATACAGATACAGGAAAAGGCTGATAAAAATATAACCCATTCACAAGAAAACTCAGCAAACATGGAGTCAAAATGAACTTCTTCAAACTGAAAGAGGATATCTACAAAAAACCCGCAGCTAACATTATACTGGTTGAAAGACTGAATTCTTTGACCCTTAAGGGAGGAACAATGCAAGAATGTCCACTCTCACCACTCCTATTCAACATTACACTGAAGTCTTGGTACAATTTGGCAGGAAAAGTATGTAAACAGGCAGATAGATCAGAAAGGATGAACTAAAACTGTCCTTCTTTGCAGACAATGTGATTGTTTATGTTAAAATCACCAGAGAATCTAAAATAAAACTCTTAGGACTAATAATTTAATAAGGTCAAAAGATATAAGGTCAATACACAGAAATTAAATTTCAATTGTTTCTCCGCCTCAGCAATGAACAACTGGAAACCAAAATTTAAAAACCAGTACCATTCATAATAGCTACAAAAAGATGAAATAGGTACAAATCTAACAAAGCATGTACCCGATCTCTATTCTAAAAACCAATCTAAGATCAAGAGACTTAGTATAGATCACAATCCATGAATTTCCTTAAATTCCATCACCCTGGAAATTCTTTCAACTCTCAATAGAAAATAACATTGAGGTCGGGCATAGTGGCTAATGCCTGTAATCCCAGCACTTTGGGAGGTTGAGGTGAGAGGATTGCCTGAGTCCATGAGTTCGAGACCAGCCTAGGCAACTTGGCAAGACCTCATCTCTACAATAAATCAAAAATTAGCCGGATGTGGTGGCGCATGCCTGTAGTTCCAGCTACTTGGAAGGCTGAGGTGGAAGGATCACCTGAGCCCAACAGGTAGAGGCTGCGGTGGCCATGAGCAGTGTGCCACTGCACTCCAGCCTGGGCAACAGAGTGAGACTCTGACTCAAAAAAAAAAAAAGCTAAAAGTCAATGCTGAAAATTAAAATCCTAGGCAATTAAGGGGAGTGCATATCTATGATTTAGGAAAGTGTTGGCCTAAACCCTCTACACCATGATAGTTCACACAGCTCCTTAATATGCCTTTCTTTCTTTCTTTTTTTTTTTTTTTGGAGTTGGAGTTGGAGTCTCACTCTGTTGTCCAGATTGGAGTGCAGTGGCACACTCCCAGTCACCACAGCCTCGACCTACTGAGCTCAGATGATCCTTCCCCCTCATCCTTCCAAGCAGCTGGACCCACTGGCATGTGCCACCACACCTGGCTAATTTTTTGATTTATTATAGAGACGAGATCTCGCCATGTTGCTCAGGCTGGTCTCAAACCCCTAGACTCAGGCAATCCTCTCACCTCCGCCTCCCAAAGTGCTGGGATTACAGGCTTGAGCCACTGCACCCAGCTTCCTTAATATGTCTTAACCCTACTTCCCTCATCATTGAATTCAAAATGGAAAACAGAAATCCCAATTTGAAGGAGATAAAAAGAAAGAGAACCTATCACCGAGAGAACTTATCACCTTGACCCAAACACAATTTTGATAGTGAATCATGCATTCAGCATCCCAACCCAGTTAAGTGAACTGGACAAGTGAAAGAAATTAAGGAAGCAATGAGCTCCATCCAGTGGCCAGAATTTTTATTTTTCTTCACAGCATTTTACCACTACCTTATATTATTTAACAGTGTGTTCAAATATATTACCTGTCTCCTCCACTAGAATATAAGCTCTAGCAGGTAGGGTCTTTGTCTTTATTCATCACAGTATCAACACGGTCTAGAAGTGTGCCAGGTACATATTAAACCCTCCATACAAGCGGTTTTTCTTTTCTGAAAAACATGCTCATGGCAGGTCTTTCTGTCATGAGTCTTCCTTCTTCCTTTTTCTAGCTAATAAACTTTGTTTGAAAACTTAAAAAGTAAAAATTAATAAATAAATAAATCCACCATACAATAAATAATCTTAGACAAATGAACTTTTTTTTTTTTTGAGTCAGAGTCTCACACTGTCACCCATGCTGGAGTGCAGTGGCATGCTCATAGCCACCACAGCCTCGGCCTTCTGGGCTTTGGTAATCCTTCCACTCAGCCTTCCAAGCAGCCAGAACTAAGGGCACACACTACCATGCCCAGCTAATTTTTTTCATATATTGTAGAGATAAGGTCTCACCAAGTTGCCCAGGCTGGTCTCAAACTCCTGGGCTCAGGCAATCCTCTCATTTTGGCCTCTCAAAGTTCTAGGATTACAGGCTTGGGCCACCACGCCTGGACTTTTGGGTTTTTTTCTTTTTTTTGTTTTTTGGGGTTATTTTTTTTAGGAGTCTCACTCTGTGGCCCAGGCTGGCAGGGTCACAGCCACCGCAGCCTTGACCTGCTGGGCTTAGGTGATCCTTCCTAGTAAGCCTTCCAAGTAGCTGAAATTACAGGTGCGTGCCACCATTCCCAAAAGATTTTTTTTTTTATTTTAGAGACAAAGTCTCACCATGTTGCTCAGTCTGGTCTCGAATCCCTGAGCTCAGGAATATACAGTAGTATCTGTTTATTTAGAAAACAAATGGAAGCCAGGCTTGGCGGCTGAGCCTGTAATCTCGCACTTTGGGAGGCTGAGGTGAGTGGATTGCCTGAGCCTGCGGGTTTGAGACCCGCCTGGGCAACTTGGCAAGACCTTATCTCTACAATAAATCAAAAAAAAAATTAGCCGGGCGTGGTAGCATGTACCGGTAGTTCCAGCTACTTGGAAGGCTGAGGTGGAAGGATCGCCGGAGCCCAGCGGGTCGAGGCTGCGGTGGCCGGGAGCGTGCCACTGCACTCCAGTCTGAGCAACAGAGTGAGACTCCAACTCAAAAAAAAAAAAAACAAATGAAGAGGCCAGAATGGTGGCTGATGCCTGTAATCCAGAGGCAGTAGGATCTTTTGAGGTCAGGAATTCAAGAGCAGCCTAGGCAACATTATGGACCTCATCCCTACAAAAAAATCCCTCCAAAATGAGCCGGGTGTGGTGGCATGAGTCTGTACTCACACCTACTGGGAAGGCTGAAGGATCACCTGAGCCCAGGAGTTCAAGGCTGTGACAAGTTGTGTACGGTAACACATCCATTAGCTAGCAATTTTAGGGTGTAACAGGTCTTTACCATATTCAGGGCCTTCTGTGTGTGTGTGTGTGTGTGTGTGTGTGTGTGGTGTGTGTGTGTGTGTGTGTGTGTGTGTGTGTGTGTTGAGTCTCACTCTGTCGCCCAGGCTGAGCCTTGACCTGCTGAACTCAGGTGATCTTTCTGCCTCAGCCTTCCAAGTAGCTGGAACTCCAAGTATGCACCACCATGCCCACCTAACTTTTTAATTTATTGTAGAGATCAGGTCTCCCCAAGTAGCGCAGGCTGGTCTTGAACCTGTGGGCTCAGGCAATTCTCTCACCTTGGCCTTCCAAAGTGCTGGGATTATAGGCGTGAGCCACCGTGCCTGGTCTCAGGGCCTTTCCAATTGCTGTTTCCCTTCCCGGAATCATTTTTGCAAGGTTACCTCCATATCATTCAATTTTGACTTCAAATGTCAGGTCGTCAAAATAAGCCTTTCCTGATCATCCTATTTAAATTCGCAGCTGTCTCCACCCATTATTGCTCCTTTCACAGCACGCATCAACCTCTGAAATCATTTTATACATTCACTTGCCTATTGCCTGTTTCTCTCTACCGGAATGTAACGTTCAAGATACAGATGTCCTCTGCCTCATTCTTCCCAGGAGACTCAGCATCTATGTACTCAATTCATATTTGATAAATGTGAGAAAAAGAAAAGCAGCCCGTCATCAGGAACGGCACTGACACTCGGGCTCAGTGTTGCTAGGAATTGGCTATAGCATTTTCCTGTTCAGACGCAACAGCCTCACAGAACGCCAACACCAGACAAGGTCATTTTGATCATGATGAAGTGAGACAACAAACACCACCGAATATTCTTGCCTAATCACCGATAAAAACAAGGGCACTGGGCAAACTACAAAAATCTCACTCTATCCTCCTCTCCAACTAACAGGATCGTTACTTCTTTGCCAATTACGGTTTTAGGCTTGCACCCTTCCTCCCCACTTCTGGGTAGGATGCATTTTGATACCCAGTCTGTCTCAGAATACCCCCACTTCCTGACGACACCCAATACTGATCGAATCTCCGCTACCTTGAACCCTGTCCCCAAATCGCCTTAAACAAGCCCAAACTTTTTTTTTTTTTTTTGAGTCGGAGTTTCACTGTGTCGCCAGGCTGAAGTGCAGTGGCACATCCAAGGCCACGACAGCCTCGACCTGCTGGGCTCAGGCGATTCTTCTGTCTCATTCTCCTAACTCATTTTACTGCCCTCAGAAAAATAAAGCTCCTCTCCGCTTTTTCCTCCCTCGCCTCCATCTCTGATGACAAACACATCTGCAAACCCTTTTTCACACTCTCTTTAGCCTTGTCCTCTCTCACCTTTCAAAGTTATTCTAACGGAACCCTCCTCTGGTACCAGCCTAGCGACCCCATAGCCCGCCTTTCTTCCAAACTAGATCTTGTCCCACTCCCGCCCCAAGCCAATCAGTCACATCCATCCCGTTCGGCTTTGGGCCTAAATCCCCTACTCAATTCTCACTCATCCCGCCCCCCGGACTCGGGCCCTGCACCTCCACCGGCCTGGAACTCTTTGCAATCCCCGCGGAACCCACAGCCCACGCACTTTCAGAGTCCACGCCCCACAGCCAATCCGCGGCCACTGCCAGGTCCGTTCCCTTCCCCCCTCCGACACCGCCCAGATCCCTCCCGCCCCGATCCCGGCGGACCCCGAAGTCCATGCACTTCCGGAATCCACACCCCACAGCCAATCCGCGGCCACTTCCGGGCCCGCCCCCTTCCTCCCTCGGACCTCCGACCCGCCGCCTCCGGCCCCCACCCTCATCCAGACCCATCCAGTCCGCGATGCCTTCCCCACAGCCAATGCACTTCCAGATTTCAAACTCCTCAGCCAATCCCCGGGCCGTTCTTCCCTTAGGCTCCAGCCCCGCCCCTCGGGCCGAGCCCCTATCCCGCCCCCTTCTCCCTCAGGCCCGGGACCCTCCACCCCACAGACCCCTGAAGGGGTCTCTTCTAGCGCCGAGATCCCGGCCGACCTCACAGTAGACGGGTGCCCTGAGTCCAAACCCCATAACTAATCCCCGGTCATATTCAGGCCGTCCCCAATCGCGGACCCTTCCTTCCTCAGACGCGGGACCCTCCACTCCCCCACATACACCCCCATGGAGTCTCTCCCAGTCCCGAGAGCCCGGCCGACCCCACAGCCAATGGGCGCCAAGAATCTAAACCCCACAGCCAATCCCCGCTTAGGCTCCGCCCCCCGCATTCCCCCGCCCCGCTCAACCAGGTCCCAAACCGCGCCGCGACTCGAACCGGGAAAGCCGGGCTGTCTCGCGAGAGAGGTGAGTGGGGCGCCAGTCGCGGACGGACGACCCCGGCCCGGCGTGCCGACAGTGTGGTGGGGAGCCGCCGCGGGGCGGGCGAGGGCAGGAGACGGGCTGGATTTCCAGCGGGGCGCGGACTGCCCGGACGGCTGCCAAGGGCTGGCATCACCTGTGTCAATACAGGGATGCACACGGCTTCTTTTGGAGAGGGCAGGGCTGAGATGACCGGCCACCTGCGGGGTGCCCCTGGGCCTCGACCTCGTCTTGCCTCCTTTTCCCTTTTTTTTTGGATCGGAGTCTCACTCTGTCGCCCAGGCTGGAGGGCAGTGGCATGCTCACGGCTACCCCAGCGTCGACCTGCTGGGCTCGGGCGGTCCTTCCGCCTCCACCTTCCCAAGAGCTGGAACTGCAGGCGTGTGCCACCACGCCCGGCTAATTTTTTGATTTATTGTAGAGACTAGTTGCCCGGGCTGGTCTTGAACCCATGGATTCAGGCATTCCTCTCTCTTCTGCCTCCCAAAGTGTTGGGATGAGAGGCGTGAGCCACCGCGCTCGGCTCCCCTTTTCTTTTGATTTTGCAGTTTAGACACTTAGAGAGCAGCCTGAGAAGGGATTATTGTCTCGGAAGTGAGTCTTAGTGAAATCCAGATTTCTTCACCCGTGGGTCCTGCCGCTGGAGAGGCATTTGGGAGAACTTGCCCTGCCCCAAGGGGCTCTTCGTTGCCGATCAACTTATAGAAAGTTTCACCTCGAGCTAAAACCTAGTTCCTACTAACTTTCAACCAGTTAACCGTACTTCTTGCATCTGGGGGAATGTATAGATATAGGAATCCCATTTGCATAAAACAGCTGTTCAGCAATACCATAAACAACTTTGGTTAACTTTTTTTTTTTTTTTTTTTTTTTTATTGTAGAGATGAAGTCTTGCCAAGTTCCCCAGGCCAGTCTTGACCCCCTGGACTCAGGCAGTCCCCTCACCAAAGTTCTGGGATGACATGCATGAGCCACTGCCCCCCAGCCACTTTGGCTAATTTTTTCCACACCTGCTGGCTTTGAAGCCTGTCCTTCCCACTGTACTTCCCCAGCCAGTGCCTTGTTCACCCTCTGGATGCCCTCTGTTTGCAGTGAACCTTGTAAACATTCTTGAAGTTGACTAACAGGTAGAGTACAAAAGAAAAAATCACCTTTCCCTTCCTGGGACTCTTGAAATAGTGTGGGCTGTGCGTATCTCTTTTTGCATCATGTTCATTTTCCTTGAGCTTGCAGCTAATCAGTATGTTCTGGACTTTGTCAAATTAACTAAACCTCCTTCTACCTCTCTTCCTCATATGTAAAGCATTAATAAGTTGATAATTTGGATACTGATAATGAATTTTTAAATTCATTTTGACTGCTTTGTCTACCTTTAGGTTTGTATTCCGCCACTAGCCATCCATCTGCCTTTTCAGCTTCCAGCTGCCTCAAAATCTGCCAGGCATACCTTCTGAAGCTTCTTTTTAAACAGTATACTCCATTGATGATACATCAACAGTTTAATTTTCTACTGATCATGTGTATTTGAGTATGGAGTTTACTTCATGCATAATATTCTATAATTAGATCAACTAGGTCACCCTGATTCATAATTTGCCTGGTTTTCCTTTTCTTTTTTTTTGAGTTGCCGTGGCATGCTCACGGCCATCCCAGCATCGACCTTCTGGGCTCCGGTGATCCTTCTGCCTCAACCTTCCAAGTAGCTGGAACTACAGGCATGCACTACCATGCCCGGCTAATTTTTTTTTTTATTTATTGTAGAGACGAGGTCTCGCCAAGTTGCCTGGGCTTGTCTTGAACCCACAAGCTCTGGGCAATCCACTCGCCTCGGCCTCCCAAAGTGCTGGGATTACAGGCTGAGCCACCGAGCCTGGTCTGCCTAGTTTTCTTTACAGAAAACTAGTTTCTAGGGAGAAACTAGAAAAATACAGTGAAAATATTACTTAGAATTTTTTTCCCCAGACTTCTCCTTCTACCCACTTGCACCTCCCCTTTGACTGGCTGCACCAAAAAATATTGTTTAGAATTAAGAGCCATATGCCTTTTTGTTTTCTCCAACTTTTCTATGACGTCCAGATTTTTTTCATTAATCTTTTTCACTTATTTATGTCTATACATAGGCAATCTTAATCGCATAAGATAATGCTACTTAAAATGTGTTTATTTAAAGTGCAGAAGAAATGACTTGCTTCGGAGGTTCTGAGCCTGCATCTGTCAGCCCGTTTAGACTTCTTGGGAGCCATTTTTTCACCTATGCTCCCACAGTTATTCCACAATAAGATACCTAGTGAGGGAAAGAGAGCCTAGGTCTGGATTTTGAGGAGATCCACTTTTAATGACGGATTGAGGGAGAAGTAGGAGGAAAAGGAGGAATGGTAATATATCAAAAGCCAAGGGAATATGTGTTTCTGGGGGAAGAGCAAACTTGGCTGTCAGAATCTAAAGCTCCAGAGAACTGGATTTAACAACATGAAGGTCAGAACTGACTGTCGCAAGAACTGCCTCTGGAGTAATAGGTACAACAGTCAGATTGTGCTGGGTTGAGGAGTTTAGATTGAGAAAAAGAAGACAGCTAGTAGAATGAGCAACAGGGAGACAGTAGAGTTGAAAGTTTTATTTTTTGTTCGTATTCTTGTATTTGTTTAAATTGGAAAAGACTTAAAGAGAGCTGAAGGTGCAGGGGAAAGGGGTAAGGCCTCCTAGAGATGGGGGGGATGAGATCCAAGTTGTGGGAGGAGGGACTCTCCTTTGGAAGGAGGATCATTTTCTTTCTTACAAGAGGAAGGAAGAAACAAGGATTCTTTAGGCTTGGGTGTTTAGACTTGAGAAGGTTGAGAGAGTTCCCACCTAACAGCTTCTGTTTTCTCTGTGATAGGAAGTAAGGTTATCACCTTGGACTGAGGAGGATAGCAGAGGGCTTTGAGTGAGAGGAACATGGAAAAAATTAAAAATTCATTTTGGATGATGGGACAGAGGAATTGCCTATAATATATAGTAGAAATGCTGGAGAGTGTCAGGGTCAATTTGAGATTGATGATCCTGAACTTGTGAAACCTAACAAGCTGTGTGACTTTCTTAGTCCAAAGCTGAGGTACCAAAGGAAAAACAGACATCATAGTTGGATTTGTTCAGGGCTAGGGCTTTACAGACAGGTGAAAAAACAGGCAAGGAAGGTTAGGGCCCTGTCAAGAGCATTCCTGAAGTGGTGGAGCTGTTGTCTACACTTGGAAATAAAGGAAGGTGAGGGCTAATTGGGAAAAAAGAGAGGCAACCTCCTGGAGATGTTGATGACACTGAAGAATGCTAATAGTTGGAATAATTAAGCAAATGGAAAGGATAGGTAGTTTGTGGTAAAGGAGCAGAATGCGTCAATGAATTATTTTGGAATTAGTCTAGATTTGGGAATGGCAAGGTTCAGGATATAACTGTAGGAGCGTGACTAAGGCAGACTGGAAGACAAGAGCACATGTCTGTGTCTTCCAGTCTGCCTTAGTCACTCTCCTACTGTTAGTTGTTTGATGGGTCAGCTCTGAAGACATTCAAATTATCAAGGATGACCACAGTGCTTGGGTTGAGAAGGGTGTGTGCTGTCTAATGACAAATCTGTAATGAGTGGCAGGCAGTTGTCAGCGGCAGGTCTGGAGATAACATCAGTGAGACAGTTGAGGGAAGTGATAATCTAGCAAGGCAGAGATAGGTGGTACAAAATACTGACTATAGTTGTTTTTGGTCCCTTTTTTTTTTTTTTGAGTCAGAGTCTCACAGTCACCCAGACTGGAGTGCAGTGGCATGCTCACGGCCACCACAGCCTCTACCTGCTCAGCCTTCCAAGTAATGGACTACTAGTGCATGCTACCACGCCCAGCTAATTTTTTTTAATTTATTTTAGAGACGAGGTCCTACCATTTTGTCCAGGCTGGGTCGAACCCATGGGCTCAGGCAGTCCTCTCACCTCCGCCTCCCAAATTGCTGGGATTACAGGCGTGAGCCACCTCACCCCTCTGACTACAGTTAATAACAATGTAGCGTATACTTGAAAATTGCAAGGCCTGGCAGAGTGGCCTACGCCTATAATCCCAGCACGTTGGGAGGCCAAGGTGAGAGGATTGCCTGAGCCCACGGGCTCAAGACTGGCCTGGGCACCTTGGTGAGACCTGATCTCGACAATAAACCAAAAAATTAGCTGGGTGTGGTGTTGCATGCCTGTGGTTCCAGCTACTTGGAAGGCTGAGACTGAAGGATGACCTCAGCCCCGAAGGTTGAGGCTGCGGTGACCGTGAGCATGCCACTGCACTTTAGCCTGAGCGACAGAGTGGGACTCCAACTCAAAAAAATAAAAATAGAAAATTGCAAAGAGATTTTAAGTGTTCTCACCAAAAACAACTGATAAGTATGTGAAGTAAGAGAAAGGGCACACTCTTTCTCAACTTTGTAGGGGATTCCTTCCTAGTTTCTTCTTATAAGGAACCCACTTATGTTGGATCAGCAGCACACCCCACTCCAGTGTGACCTTATCCTAACTAATTACATCTGCAACAATGCTTGAAATAAGGTCAAGATAGTATTATGAGGTACTGGGGGTTAGCCCTGCATATCTTTTGGTGGGGAAAGGGTTGGGAATACAATTTAACTCATAACACTAGGAAACTGATTTCTCCACACCCTGTTGCCTGTTGCCTCTCAGGTTTTGTCTGTCAAATATCACTGTTAGCAGCTATGACTGTACTTTCAGGAGACTTGGAAAGAGGACAGTTAGTGGAATTAGGGTTATCAGATGAAAAGGCAAAAAAAAATGTTAATTGAAAGTAGGGAGACTACAATACCACTCTTGACGGGCATGCCTTCAGCTTCTAACTTTGACATGGAGTCTTATGGTTTCCTCTCTTTTCTTTGGCCTGTAAATAATCCTAAATTTCTAAAGTCAACAATTCCAGGATAACAACTCTAACTCTGTTCACGTCTTTTTTCTTAATATCAATATGAGGACAAACTCCAGGTATCCTGATTCTTAGTCATTCTTCTTCTCTACCTACTAGCCACACAATTTTTCCCAAGAAGTTAAGCAAGATTTCTCTCATTTGTCTACTTGCAAGAAAGCATTTTGCTTATACTTTACTCGTATGCGTAAGAAATCATGCTAAACTTAAATAAATGGACATTTGTTGAAAAAAAATAAATAGTCCTAAATCAAAGAAGTTCTTGATAATGAAGGTTGTTCAGTATAGTTTCTGTTGGAACTATATTGGTAATACTTTTCCTAAAAATTATTTCTACTGCCTTATCCAGTTAGCATTTTATTTTTGAGCAGAACAGTTAGTTCCACAAGAATAAGCGTGTCTTGATTTAAGAAAACCTGATCTTAGTGTTAAAAGACATAAAATATAAGGGATGACTACTTACTTTACAAAAGGAACCAGTATTTCATAAAAAGGGTTCATCTCATAAGTAGTCCACTTATATCATTAGTCTATAATGTAGCTTTATGTATTCATTTAATTAGTCAGCAATTATTTATCAAGGCTTACTGAGATAGGGTAGCTAGCACAGGTTAGACATAGGTAAATTTCCCATAGGTAGGTTTTAGGAAGCGTTCAGATGTTTTCATAAATAACCTAGAGTGGATAAATGATCTGCCAAGCAAAAAATGCTTTGTAGAGCATAGGCAGGTGTGATATTAAATGGCTAAGAGGCCATTATAGGTTACATGGCCAGAGAAGGCTTTTTTAGGAGCAGTAATTTAAGCTGAGATTTGATTGAGAAGAACAGGATTTCATATTCTTTTTTTTTTTTTTTTTCCTTGAGACAGGATCTCACGTTGTTGCCAAGGCTGGAGTGCAGTGGCACAATTATCATACCTTACTGCAAGCTCAACCCCCTGGGCTCAAGCAATCCTCTATCCTTAATCTACGGAGTACCTGGGACTACAGGCGTGGGCCATCACACCCAGCAAATTTTTCTGTTTTTTGTAGAGACAAGGGCTCACTTTGCTGTTCAGGTTGGTCTCAAACTCCTGGGTTCAAGCGATTCTTCCACCTCGGCCTTTCAAAGTGCTGCAGTTACAAATGTGAGCCACCACACCTGGCTTATATTCTACTTTTAAATAAACATCCACTGTGTTTTGTTTCATAGCTAAAGCTTTCTGTAACCTTAACATTTTGAAAACTTAAAGAGATTTACTGTAAGTCTCCTACTTGCAAACGTTCAAGTTGTAGAAATTTCAAAGATGGAAACATGTGTTTGCATGTCCACTCACATAAATTAGTTCAAGTGTCTGGTTTACATTGTCACAAGTGTGCATCCTCTACAAGTGGTTGTACTTTTATGTTCTTTTCAGTATTGTATAGAGTACAGCAGTAAAGTATCTTTATTTCAAGCCCAGGATGTCCAGAAGCAAGCATAAAAGCAGTGGTGATATAGCTCGTATATTTCTTTAATTTTTGTGTGTGTTTGTTTTTCATACTACTTGTGTGAAAAGCATTCTAAATTTATTACAGTACAGTACTATATAGACGACTGTGTTAGTTGGGTACCTAAGGCTAATTTTGTAGGAATTACTAACACTCTTCTGAGAACTTGTTTGTGTGTGGGGAACTTACTTTAATCTAGTTTTAGTAGCCCCCCTGAGACTATAGAATATATCTCTTTTTCTAAGGTTTGATAACTGTTAGAGATACAGAAAATGCCATCCACTCATATAGCAGCCTTATACTGTATACTGGAGAAAACAGCATTCTCAAAGTAGGAGAAATTTCTGTTTGCCTGAATGTTTTTAGAAAGTTGTGTTTCACCGGGCATGGTGGCTCACCTGTAATCTTAGCACTGTGGGAGGCAGAGGCGAGAGGATTATCTGAGCTCAGGGGTTTGAGACCAGCCTGGACAGCATGGTGAGACCTTGTCTCTACAGCAAATCAAAAAATTAGCCAGGCATGGTGGCGTGCGCCTGTAGTTCTTGCTACATGGAAAGCTGAGGTGGAAGCATCACCTGACAGGCGAGGTTGCAGTGGCCATAAGCCACTGCAATCCAGCTTGGGTGACAGGGCGAGACTCCAACTCAAAAAAAAAAAAAAAGTTGTGTTTCATTTCCACTTCGTGTGTGTGTGTGTGTGTGTGTGTGTGTGTGTGTGTGTGTGTGTGTGTGTGTGTGTGTGTGTGTTGGAGTCTCACTCTCGTCACCCAGGCTGGAATGCAGCGGCACGCTCACAGTCACTGCAGCCTCCACCTGCTGGACTTAGGCTATCCTTCCACCTCAGCCTTCCAAGTGACTGGAGCTACAGGCACATGCCACCATGTCCAGCTAATTTTTGTGATTTATTGTAGAGACGAGGTCTCACCAAGTTGCCCAGCCTGGAATTGAACCCTTGGGCTCAGGCAGTCCTCTCACCTTGGCCTCCCAAAGTGCTGGGATTACAGGCTGAGCCACTGTGCCTGGCCTTCATTTCCACTTCTAAGTGGCCATGTAATAATAGAGTTGTCTTCAGGAATTTTGCTTTACTGCCGAGAAAGCGAAGTCTGATCTTCCTTTATTTTCCCATGACTGATAACGATTTCCTCACAAGTAGAGAAGCAGTTCAGAATGCATGCCTATCATGTCACTAGAGTGTATTGACATGGCTTGCTAGCTATCTGTGGAATTAATTTATCAAGGGCCTACTATCATCTATCTTTTCAAACAACTTTGTAAATAACCTGTTTCTAACAACTTTAATTACTGTTACAAATTGTGCTTTTATTAGTGACTGTTATCCAGATGATTCTGAAATTTGAATCGTTCCTAGATTGGAATATTCTGAATTTTATAGTTATTAGAAATGGAACTTTTACTTAACTGAAATTTAATGCTCTTGACCACATTAAAGTCTTATTTTTTGAATTCAGGCTATTCTTACAGATCTCTAGTTTAAAATCATGTGAGTATAAATTTGTGTAAGATAAAGTGGCATAAATTTATTAGAATGATTCCAGTCACGAGAGATTATATTATAGAAGGAAAACTCAAAAGACAACTCAGTTTCTGAAACTATTTATATTTTATATAAGCTTATGATCTCTCAGCTAGCTGTGTGTTTGATAGTGATGTAACTATCATATATTTACTCCTTTCCATTTTTCTTTTATTCTGTAGCATGTTTTTGGCCCAGAGGAGACTTCGCTTTCTTGGCAGTAGAACAAAATTCCTGAAGACAACTTATTCTTCAAAAATTCTGGAATTACCTCCTTCTGCTGTAGGTATTGCTTATCACTTACAGACGAGTTATCGTATATATTCTGCAGTCTCCAAAAGAAGATGCAATTTTTCAGATACTTTTAAAATAAATATTTAATTGGAATAAATATTATATAAGCTGAAGGCATCTCTTGTCATTGACTAGAACTGACTTTCACTGCGCAACTGCTTGCCTGTCTGTGGATCAGGCAATATATTGGGCATTATGTATTCATTATCTCATTTTGTCTTCACAAAACCTTCATGTTATAAATAGTTACAGTCCTGTTTTACAAATGAGAAAGGCTTCGATGGGTTAGTAACTTGCCTAAATGCCCTTGACTAAACTATTTATCAAGTTCTTACCATATGCCAGAGTGGTGATACAGTGGTGAACTTAACACACCTGGCCCTGCTCATGAGGCTTAGATAAATTACCCAATGAGTGGCATACCTTCCAGGGCACAGAGTTTGGCATGTCTGTGAGGGACTGAGTATAGCTTTTAAATGGCCTTACTAGAACAACATGCTCACCTATCTACCTCTAGCATGATAAAGAGCTTGTTCTTTCTACTCAAGAAAGAATATTATAGAGACTAAAAGTAATGCCTGGTGCAGTGGCTCACACCTGTAATCCCAACACTTTTGGAGGCAGGATTGCCTGAGCTTGGGTATGAGACCAGCCTTGGCAATTTGGCAAGACCTCTTCTCTACAGTAAATCAAAAAATTAGCCAGGTGTGGTAGTGCACGCCTGTAGTTCCAGCTACTTGGAAGGCTGAGATAGAAGGTGTGCCTGAGTCCAGCCAATCGAGGCTGCAGTGGCCGTGAGTGTGCCACTGCATTCCAACCTGAGCGACAGAGTGAGACTCCCAACTCAAAAAAAAAAAACATACAGGCTCTGTGACTTTTAGGTTATAAGAAATAAGACAGATAGAAGAACAGGTGAATTTTCTTCATAAAAAATCAGACAGGCATTCCAGTACATGGTTCATACCACAGGACAGATAACTGACCTAGTTTCTTCTATAAGTTAGTGACATGAGAAAAAAGTATGAGGAGGCATTCTCGGGGGACTGCTTAAGGATGGATGGATGAAAAGAGGTTTGAGAAACAGCCACCAGCTGGGCATGGTAGCTCATGCCTATAATCCCAGCACTTTAGGAGGTCAAGGTAAAAGGACTGCCTGAGTAACTTAGCGAGACCTCATCTCTACAATAAATTGTTTAAAAAATTAACCAGGTGTGGTGGTGCACGCTTGTAGTTTCGGCTACTTGGAAGGATAAGGTGGAAGGGTTGCCTGAGCCCAGCAGGTCGAGACTGCAGTGACCAGGAGCATGCCACTGCCCTCCAGCCTGGGTAACAGAGTGAGAATCCAACTCAAAAGTAAATAAATAAATAGAAGCTGGGCTCGGTGGCTCAGTCTGTAATCCCGCGCCTTTGGGAGGCTGAGGTGAGTGGATTGCCTGAGCCCGCGGGTTCGAGACCCGCCTGGGCAGCTAGACCTCATCTCTACGATAAATCAAAAAGTCAGCCGGGCATGGTAGCGCATGCCTGTAATTCCGGCTACTTGGAAGGCTAAGGTGGAAGGATCGCCGGAGCCCAGCAGCTTGAGGCTGTGGTGGCCGGGAGCGGCCACTGCACTCCAGTCTGGGCGACAGAGACTCCAACTCAATAAATAAATAAATAAATAGATAGATAGATAGATAGATAGATAGATAGATAGATAGATAGAAAACTAGCCACCAAATACAATGCATGGAACTTATTTAGCAACTTGATTGTCAACTAAAGTGTAAAAAATAATTTTCATTTTTATTTATTTATTTATTTTGAGTAGGTATCTCACTCTCTCAGACTGGAGTGCAGTGGCACAATCATGAGCTATTGCAGCCTCTACCTGCTAGGCTCAGACAATCCTTCTGCCTCAGCCTCCTGAGTAGCTGGGACTACAGGTATGCACCACCATACCTGGCTAATTTTTTGATTTTTTTAGTGGAAATGAGCTCTCGCCATGTTGCCCAGACTGGTAATAACAAGGAATTATTGTTGATTCGGGTGGTAATGACATTGTAGTTACAAGTATAAATATTTTTTAGATATATATGCCAAGTATGCAGGGATGTAATAACTTAAGATCTAGGATTTGCTTCCAAATGATTCAGCAATTAGAGAAAAGAAAAAGGGAGAGAAAAGCAAGTGAGGCAAAATCTTGGTAATTATTGAATCTAGCTAATGTGAATATGAGTATTTTATATTAGACTGAAATATATGAAATTTCTATTTTTGTAGGTCATAAATGGTTGAGTGTTGGCAATTTTGTATTGTCCAACCTAATTCTAATCTTTTAACATTTATGTAGGTTTGAAATTTTCATAAAAACCATCATCAGCTTCATCTACATGTAAATACTATGAATTCTACCCATTAGTATCTTGAATTCCATCTCCTGTCATTGCCACCATGAGTACCATATTTCAGGCTCTCTCCCATACATAGAAGTTCATTAAAGCCATGGAAGCAGGTATGATCTCCCAAGGTGTATGATCATATGAAGCCATGGTACCAAAAGGGTACTTGTGTGAAGAATTATCATTCATGGAGATTTTGTTAGACTGCACATGCCCAGAACCTACCCCAAGGTATTCTGAGTCTATAAATCTGGAGTATATTTTGAAAAATCTTTCCAGTGATTCTGATGCACATCCCAGGCAAGAACCACTGAGAATACATTTTTCAGACTTCCAGATTATTTATGATAGCACTCACACCTAGCAGTGGAATGATTGGGTTGCGTGGTTGCTTTGTGTTTAGTTTCTAACTGCTGAAGCCTATTCCGAAGTAGTTGGAAAGGTTCAAAAAAGCATCCATAGTTCATCAGAGCCTTTGCATTTAAAATAGTCACAAAGATAAAGAGATAAGGAAATCTCCCCATTGAAGGGCAAATGAAGAAGCAGACCGATCAGTGTTATCAAGAGCAGTAGTGATAAGTTTAAATCATGAAAGACTTATTAGAACCAGTCACACTATTTACTGTAAACCTATTTAGAACATTCTTTTTTTTTTAGTTGGAGTCTCACTCTGTCACCCAGGCTGGAGGGCAATGACACGCTGTTCACGGCCACCACAACCTTGACCTGCCGGGCTCAGGTGATCCTTCCGCCTCAGCCTTCCAAGTAGCTGAAAGTATAGGCACATGCCACCACACTCGGCTAATTTTTTGATTTGATTATAGAGACGGGGTCTCACCAAGCTGCCCAGGCTGGTCTCAAACCCGTGGGCTCAGGTAATCCTCTCACCTTGGCCTCCCAAAGTGCTGGATTATAGGCCTGAGCCACTGTGCCCAGCCTTAGAACATTCTTTTCATCCACATCATCCTTAATATTATTGAAAACTTAGTGTGAAGGTTACCTCTGAGAAAGGGAACAGGTTGGAGGATGAGCTGCACTCTCCTGTGTTATTAGCTTTTTTTTTTTTTTTTTTTACGAAAACATTTTATGTATGACTTCTGTAATTTTAATGTTTTGAATGTTAAAGAAAAAATTGTGAAATACATGTTATTTAAAAGTTCCAGTTATATGCACAATTTATTTTTCTTTGAGTTGGAATCTCACTCTGTCACCCACACTGGAGTACAGTGGCATGCTCACGGCCACCGCAGCCTTGACTTGCTAGACTCAGGCGATCCACCTCAGCCTTCTAAGTAGCTGGAACTACAGGTGCGCACCACCATGCCCAGCTAATTTTTTAAAATTAATTTTAGAGATGCGGTCTCCTGAAGTGCTGAGAGCAAGGCTAGAATTTGACTGAGTCATTCTACACTTTTGTAAAATTGAAGGAAACTGGGAGGCATGCAAACTCTGGGTCAAGTGTTAACTACCTTCCCTCTACCCTGTGGAACAACCAGTTTTGCCTTCACTTGCAATTCAGTTTCTTTACCACCTATAAATGTGTGCCCTTTGACTTTCTCTTGGAACTGGTATAACAAGTGTCTGGTTCCCTCATACATAAAATAAAAATCTTTAACATATACTCATTTTTATATTTGTATGTCATAATTTAACCTCTTTCTGAAAATTATCTCTTAATAACTTTAGAGAAGCAAGCTTACTGGAAATTAAAGAGCTGATAGCATAGGTAAATACATAGCTGGAATACCAGAGACTGGGGAGTAAGGTCACCCAAGAATAATAAGTCTGACTTTTCTGCTAAAAAAAAAAAAAAAAAAATGGAGCCGAGCACTGTGATTCACTCCTGTAATCTCAGCACTTTGGGAGGCTGAGGTGAGAGGATTCTTTGAGCCCAGGAGTTCAAGATCAGCCTAGGCAGCATAGTGAGAACACATCTCTACAAAAAAAAAGTTTAAAGATCTTAGAAGACTGGAGTAAATAAAGGAGTGTCTGAGTATTGTCCCTGGTCTCAAACCCATGGGCTCAGACAATCCTCTTGCCTCCACCTCCCAAAGTGCTGGGATAACAGGCGTAAGCCACTATGCCCAGCTATATGCACACTTTTGAGTTCATTATAAAATTGGATTTTTTTCTTTGTATGTCTTTAAGTCACCTTTCCCTAGTTTGCTTTTTCACTTGTGAGTTTTTCTTTCATTTCTTCTGCCATTACAGGAATGCTGTTATTTTCTCATGCCATCTATTGGCAAAAGAAAGTTAAATTTGTCTGTTTTTTTTTTTTTTTTTGATGGATCATCATACATTGGAAAACATTTAAAATCTATGAGATAATTTTGTTCATGACCTCTTGCTCGAGGGGCATTTTGTCCAGAGGGAAAAAGAGGGCATGATTTCAGAATACTCTGGCAGTTTTTTAAAATCAGCTTTATCAAGGTACAATAAACTATTTTCATTTGGAATTATAACTCAGTGGTTATTTGACAGATGTACATATATCTTGAAACTACTGTCACAGTCGACATGCAGAACATTCCCACTGCCTCTAAAAGATTCCTCATGTTCCTTTACCATCCATCTCATGCTGCTGGTTTGTCACCATAGACTAGTTAGTTT